CTTTTTAACAACACTGCCGACTGTTGCAAAATGGATTGATGTCCATTGTTGTTGTGAAAATATCTTCTAAGAAGAAATCATACCAATTGTTGAATCCTGTCATCAATAATTAATCGTCAAACATTTAATTGTTTTATAATTATTGTTATTCATCGCTCAGCTCCAAGCAACGTGAATCATTACAGGGCATAAGTGTACAAGAGGGAATGTAATTTGTTGTTTGTTTAGCCCTGAAGGTTTCAGAGAGCTTGGTGGTGGCTCCACGTTTGACAGAAACAACACTGAGGAATGTGTGACAGGATCTGAGCTGAGTTTAGTTCGTCCAACTTGTTTGTCATATTTAAAGAGGCCGCCACTAAATCAGGTTGCCAACACCACACCTCAAGACAATGAACTAAACACATGAGGGATGTAACCACAAGCCAACAATGACAAATGGAAAGCAATACCAAACCACAAATAATAGACTGAAAGTATTGTTTTTCACTTCCATTGTTTCTACTGAGGTAAAGTTGGTGTTATATTCCATTCATTCCGTTCATTTAGCGGCCCCTATATTGTTTACCATGCTAATTTGAATATTGGGTCTGAAATCGCATGTAAGTATGACTTCAAAACAACATATGTTGATGTTTGTTTCCTCCGGGTGCTCCGGTTTCCCCCATAGTCCCCATAGACATGGCTGTAGGTGAATTGAAGAAACTTGGCCTTAGTGTATGAGTGTGTGTGTGTGAATGAGAGTGTGTATGGGAGTATTCCAGTACTGGGTTGTGGCTGGAAGGGCATCCGCTGCGTAAAACATATGCTGGAATAGTTTATGGTTCATTTTGCTGTGGTAATCCCTGATAAATAAATAGAAAATCAACTGTAGTTAACCCTATTTAGACTCACTATCCTTCTGATTTAGGAGCCTGCTGAGGATCCATTGCTACTAACATTCAACCCCAGTGCCTTGCAGAGTTGAAGCCTATAAGATATCGCCTGTGTTGTGGGTAACTTCTCTCTGGAGGTCATACGCTTCACGCATGGAGACTGATCTTCACCTAGCACCATGTAACGATCACTGCGCCCGGTGTCCGGTTTCTAATCCTTTAATCTTTTGGCCCAGGGATGTTTCCATTATCAGCTCTTACATAAGTCCACGCTGCACCAAACGTCCTGCAGAAGTCTCAAATAAATCTAAAAGGAAGAATAAGAATATTAACAGATGACTTTATTACATATATTTGATCCCTATAAACTTTAGTTGGACTATTTGTAGTTTTTAATTCATAATTATACGTACATTAAATGGGAAAATGGTTTTGGAAGAGTTATTACAAGCTAACAGACACCTCCTCCTCACCATTTCTGTTTGATGTCAAAACTGACAATTGGAGGGGCGTGGTTAATTATGCAACCCATGCCCAATACCTCAGACATACCTAGGCTGTTTCTCAATATGCGTTCTTGTCTGTTATTGTGTCCTCGACGTCATCAACTGTCGTCGAAGTACTGTTTCAATTCAAAGTTCACATCTTGCCAAGTACAGATAAAATTCCTGTATGTGTACTTGCTCCGCCCCTTTTATCAAGGACACATCGAGAGGTGACTTGTGCCAAAGACTATAGAATACACACGATGTGTCACTCGTATACCTGTGAATGAGGAAAAGTAGAACTGTCAATATGGCGAATGAAGCCCCGCCTTCTAATACAGGAGCCAATCAGCGATCATGAAATGTCAAATAAAGCCCGCCTTCTAGTACAGGACCCAATCAGCGATTGGCTTTAGAATGACAATTCTCAGGGGCTCGGACCAGACATGTGTTTCTGCAGATTTTGTGCAATACGAACATTTAGAAATGAAACAAAATAGACAGGTACTGTTTAGATTGATTGGTTATTTGTAATATGAAATGTAATCGTAAGCTTGGCAAGTAGTTTTGGAGAAATTGATGTTTCCTCATTCAAATAGAATGCTCGAGCATACTGCTCAAGAGATGTTTCAAAGATGGCCGCCGAGTGAAATGACTTGCCTTAAAGCATACCTTGTTCTGTCTTTTCATCTAGCAGCAATAATGACGACTGGAAAACTTAGTTTAGAACAAAAATGAACTGTTTACTGAAGTTTTCTGTATACTGAAACAGGAGCGAACTCCGAACACACACTCTCTCTCTCACTGAGTCAGTTGCCAATGGTTACAGGCGTGCTTTCAGTAGCGCTAAGCATCATAAAAAAACTGTTCTTAAAGCAAAACAGCATATATAAATGCCCAGGTAAATAAATTCACTTTATGACAATTAAACGATAAATGGAGCATTAATTAATCACTCTTGCAGTTATAAATCAATTTAAGTCATAACATACCTGTCAACATTGGGATGTGAAAATAAGGCATATGCCCACCATAATAAGGGAAATGCACACACCTAACGTTATAATGAAAGCATTTGACTGTTTTCCTAACTTTTTATGCTTTTAAGACGAAATTAGTTGTGTTTGGGAAAAAACCCACCAAGATCGACATCCTTGGTTATGTTATTATTATTATGTGCATATGTCTGTTCAAACGCACCCAAGAGCCAGACTTTCTCTCCGCTTCAAATCGCGTGTACAGAATCCGTTTGGGAAACAGCGTCTGTTTATCACTATGGAGCGCGTCAGCTGACAGTCATGCACCATTATATGACTGTTTTGAGGATTGTATAGGATGGACGTCGGCACCTGTAATCAAAAGGAAAGGGAATCGCGCCGTTTTTAATATTTATTTATAAGTGTTTTAATTCCTAAACAAAGCGAAAGCACGGAAGACTCACGTTTCAGAGCAAGGGGTGACCCCTGGTGGTTTGGCGGTATGGGTTGCGTACAGGTAGGCTCGGCTGTTCAGAGAAAGACTGAAAATACGGGAGAAATATGGGAAAATACCTTTACGGGATGATAGAGGGATAGAACAGTAAAATACTTGAGAATCCTGGGAGAAACGGGAGGGTTGACAGGTATGCCTTAAAGGGACTTTGCTTGTGCAAACATGCAAAGCACAGGTTTCCCAGAATGCACCCAACCAGCAAAAGCTAAATGCAGTGGAGAAAACCAGCTGGATTTTTAAAATACTCCTCTGATGTGTAACAAAATAAGGTTTTAATAGTTTTTAGGGAAGAATGTAGTTCTTTTAAACTGGAATCTGCAGTTTATTTACAAAGATAGCACTTATTTGACAACATGCTTCAATTTATGTAGACTCTGTCAGCGGTAGCAGTCATCACATCCACAGTCGAGAGCAGATTTACATCCCTAGTCCATTTTAGATGTATCGCTGGATCTCAGCTGTCCATTGTAGTTAAAACATGATATTTAATACCTCTTGTGCATATCTAACGTACAGTTTTTTGTCTTATAAATTAATTTGTTTTCAGATGTGTTATTTTGGCAGTGTTATTTTGTTATGTTTTGTATTCATTTATTCATTTTCTTTTCGGCTTAGTCCCTTTATTAATCCGGGGTCGCCACAGCGGAATGAACCGCCAACTTATCCAGCACATATTTTACACAGCTGATGCCCTCCCAGCTGCAATCTATTACTGGGAAACACTTACACACTCACTCTCATTCACACACATACACTACGGCCAATTTTAACTCATCCAATTCACCTGTACCGCTTATTTTAGACTTGTGGGGGAAAACAGAGCAACCGGAGGAAACCCACGCGAACGCAGGAAGAACATGCAAACTCCACACAAAAACACTTATTGACCCAGCTGAGGCTTGAACCAGCGACCTTCTAGCTGTGAGGCGACAGCACTACCTACTGTGCCGTCGTTACGTTTTATAATTGTTTTTAATTATGTTACATGTTGTACACTATCTTTGTTTACCAAATTGTTTAAGTCTTATGCTTTATACTTGTATAATGTCCATTGTAGTTTATTAAATCTGTTAATCAGACACGAGTCTGTGTATAGTAACCCATTTCACTCCACATTTATGGTTATTTACGTTTACATTTTCTAAAATCAAAAATATTTCATCAAAACATTAATATATTATTAATTATAAGGTCATGCTTTATATCAGGGGTCACCAAACTTGTTCCTGGAGGGCCGGTGTCCTGCAGATTTTAGCTTCAACCCTAATCAAACACATCTGAACAAGCTAATCAAGCTTTTACTAGGTATACTTGAAACACCCAGTCAGGTGTGTTGAGGCAAGTTGGAGCTAAACCCTGCAGGGACACCGGCCCTCCAGGACCGAGATTGGTGACCCCTGCTTTATATAATTAAATCATTTAAATTTTAATGTACAGTGAACCGATGAATCGATGGTGAGGTAAATGATGCTATAAAGTACACTGCCGTTCTTTTTGAAGAAGTACCCGACTTGTGTCCTCGCTCCCTCGATAATTCATTCTTCCAAATCTGAACTTTGGACGCATTAATACCGAACTTTGTGAAATTGGTATTGAGAAACAGCCCTAATCTGAGAATTTAACGTTAACTGAAAACAAACAGGAAATGCATTATCAGATTTCAAGTTTAGATTTCAAGGGCAATTTTTTCCCTTAATGACATCCACAGATGAGTTTTTCACCACAAAACTAGCAATGTGAGCTAACAAAATCAACATGGTTCGTTTTGATTTTATTCGTACTTTAAATGTAACGTTAAGCGTCAGAAAGTTCTGGAATGTTCAAAGATGCGAACTTCATTTCCCAGAATCCCTCAGCCGAAAACGTCACGTTTAAATGTTATGCTTCTGCATTTCCCTCAAACAAAGTCTAAATATATTTATGTAGAATACATAAAAACACAATATACTACACCCTCTTTATTTAAAAACGGATTAATATATCTCGCTTCCCTGTCACTTCCTCCGTCTGTTTCCCATGAATCTCCACGCGACGCGTCCATGAATATTAACGAGGTTTACTTTTGTGCTCCGCTTTCGATTGGAAGACATGACGTAGCCTCATTAACATTAAGAAGTAGTTCCTAAACGTCACCGCGCACTCAGTGCTCAGCGTCAAAGCACGGAGCGCGCACAGCAGAGCACATCAGAGAGAATTATTAGATGAATAGTGCATTTCTCCGTGGACTTTCTACACAACAGTCACTCTTTGGGTTATCTAAATAAGACAGCCTACAAGGAAAACATGTGCAACACAGAGGAGAGGTGAGAGAATACAAGATTATGCTTCACAGACGCGCAACATATTATTTCCCTCAAATACAGCTTGAGTTTCTGCAGCTGATTATTGTGTCGTGTTTAGTTTTAAGTCTCTATCAACACATCTGTATGTATTTACTTCTTAAAATGTATTTAAATTATAGTGTAGAACATGCAATGTACACACACACACACATAAACGTACACATACATGCATATATACACAGATTATTATTGAATTATTGAGATAGAAAGACCTAGATAGATGCAGTGGGGAAAAATAAATACAAAATAAAATACAAGTGTAGTGCAATATTTTTCAACACATGCATGTACAATTAATAGTGTATAATAATATTTGATATCTAAAAATATTTAAATTACAAATACATTGAACATTGTGTATGGACAAATACGTGTGAGGTGTATTATGAATGGGCAAGGTTGATTGATTGTTTTGTACTGTAGGATCAGAGTCACACTGTCTGCTATCAAAGCGGATTTAATGTCGAGCAGACAGATGAGTGAGTGCGAGAGACAGAACTAATGCTATAAATATTTCATCCATAACCCCGTCAACTCACGAGCTTGTCGATTCTAACTCGCTCCTCCCAATAGATAGTTTCTCCGAATCTATCTGTGTACTTTGACATTTCCCAAGCTGGATTGAGGATGAAACCCTAGCAAGGATCCTATCTGAAACCCTTCCAGCAGTTGTTTTCAGTGAAACGTCTTTGTTTTTGTGCCACGATTAGCACAGGTCCTGGTGAGAAGCTGATAAACCATTTTTAACCTGAGATAAGGTACAGGGATAGAGCGTTAGGTAAACCTTACATAAGATATACTTCCTAGAAAGCTCTGTTGTACATCTTTGCAGTGGCCCAGATTAGAGTGTGGACCTTTAACAATTCACAACCATGTTAAATTCACTGCGTCTTTCATGAACACGTTTTCCTCGCAGGTCACAATCTATCCACACTCACATTTCATGCGACGTCCTGTTTCTCGGTTTCATGTTCGGTTTGTGTTTTCGTTGTTTGACTTGGAATTGGTCCAGACCTGCAACACTCAAAAGAGAAACAGTGTTGAGGAAGAGCGCAGCAACTCCAAATCTCTTGACAAAACACAAACGTGTCAGACTTGTTGTCAGAGAAGGCCAAATGCTTGCTGAGACTGTAATCTGATACGTGAAAAACACAAACCTTCCACCTCTCCTGGTCTAAAAAACAGGTTCACTGTGAGCCGATGGTCAAACATTACACTTCAAGCCCCTCTGTAGCCAAATGATAACTGTTTTCCTGGAAGACCCACAGTATCCTGTTTTGGTTTTTGACTGTTTCCTGGTCCTTTTCCAAACACTCAGTGGAGCCAGTAATTACTGCACTAAAGATTAACCTGAATCCCAGCAGATCCGGACTGTAACCCTGTGCTGGTCCTGCAGATCAGGAATGATCTTGTTTGTTTTCTTTGAAAAGCTTTCTGTAGAATCAGGCGAACTACTTTCTTAGTAACAAAAGAGGAGCTTTGGATTCCTTTTGGGAGTACATTGTGCTTTTGGGATTCTAGGAATCAAACAGTATCTTTAACTGTTGCTCTTAATTGGGATATGAAATTTAGTAAACAGGGTGGCATGCTGGCTTAATGGTTAGCACTTTGGCCTCATAGCAAGAAGGTCACTGGTTCGAGTCCTGGCTAGGGCAGTTGGCATTTCTGTGTGGAGTTTGCATGTTCTCCCAGTGTTGGCATGGGTTTCCTTTGGGTGCTCTGGTTTCTCCAACAGTCCAAAGACTATTGATCTTATTCTTCACGTACGAACTGGCGCAGCCATTTGAATATTTTTTGGCTCTGTCCTATTCACTTCCATTCATATTTAGACTTTAAAACCAGCTTGTTCTGCTGCTTGATGTTGCAAAATGTTATTTTCTTATTAGATTATTCTACTTTTTATGTATAATCATGCACACTTTAGTTTGTAGAGTGAGTAGTTTTACCGTTTACTGCCTTTATTATTCCTAGTCATTTCTCCCATAGGTGACTGAATCGCAAGTTTTAAAACGATCGCAAAAATGAGCGCACTTCCGCATTGAAGAATAAGGTCAATAGACCTTTGCAAAGTGGCAATGGTATTGGCCCATGAACATTTCCTCCTTGTTGTCAAACTATTCCATAACTCTAACAAGAGGAAATTCAATCATGACCTAACGTTAAAACAACTATCATAACATTATTTATCAATATGTGGACCTTTTTGGATTCTCAAAAGAAAAAAAAAAGTAAAACGAGACATACGTTAAGGCTGATTTATAGCCCTTCGCCGTGGCCTTCGCTGACGTGCACCTCTCTATAAATGCAACTACACGTCGCAACGACGCATAGCGCAAGCTCTGTGATTGGTCGGCTTGGTAGCGCTGACGAGTCTGGGCGGGACCGAGAGCCGCATAAATGGTGCGAGCCTGATGGAGCGATTGTTTACAAGTGTGGAGTCCCGTGAATGAGCTCCGGATGGAAAGTTTTGTTTTGTGTTTACCTCATAGTTAAAGTTGTTGCACGTCCGCCGGTTCCTGCCTCAGAATGAGCGAGTTTGTGCCACTTGTACGTCCCGGAAGTGTTCAGGAAAAGCAAAACAGCAGCGAAGAAACTCGACACAGAGGAACATTAACACCTCACTGCCAACTAGCGTTTCGGAAGTGTTAATGCAGACCAACAGAGACAGCGCGCAGGAGTATAAATGCACAGCTACGCGCTTTGCATGCGCCGTTGGTTACGCCGGTCACTTGACGCAGAAGTATAAACCAGGCTTTAGATTACATTAGATATTGTTATTGTTTACGCCCCTTAAAATGGTCTATAGGTGAATTGGGTAAACAAAATTGGCCGTTGTGTGTGTGTGTGTGTGTAGTATGAGTGTTTCCCCATACTAGGTTGCAGCTTGAAGATCATTAGCCATGTAAAACATATGCTGGAATAGTTGGTGGTTAAATAAGGGACTAAGCTAAAGGAAAATCAATGAATTCAATAAACAGGGCAAATTAACGCCAGAGTGCAAGCATTGATAGAAGCTTAGAAAGCATTGATGGAAGTAGTAAATGATGTCCAAAACTGCACAAAAAGCAGAGCAAATAAGTTGCAAACCACCAGGACAGATGGTAATCAAGTGTGGCAGTGTAGTCAGATCATGGCCATCAATATATTCCCACAAAATAATGATTTTAGCCAATTGTGACCAGCTAAATAACTCCCTCGTTTTCATTTAATTGTATCAAGAAAGTAAATTAATACATTGTAATGATGTATTATTATAATTAATTAGTTCATTTGTAACTATAATATGCATATTCTCTTGTAAATGTTTCCTTTTCGACCATAAAACTTACAGTTTTCCCTTTCACTCTGCTTTAATTAACATTTTCTGTTTATTTATGCATTAGAATTGCATTATGCGACCTTAATCTCATTAATCTCCTTAAAATGCAAATCTGAAGTTTAACAAAGTGATGACTTATTGCTTAATGGCTTTGTTATAGATGTTTTTAGTAGTTTAAAACAACAATATATATAAGAATCTATTTAGAAATAAATCCATGCAATAGCAGAAAATGTATTTGGGCAGCTCATTACAGTATTTTCCAACTGTAATTTACACGATTAACCAAGAACAAATATCACTTTGGTCTGCTAAAATATCAATAAAACTCACAATGTTGAACTTTTCATGATTAAAAGTTGCCATAATCCCAAAATTGAATTTAAATAAATGCAAAACAGATGAATGAACACAGGCAAGCTCAACTAAATATTCGACATAGCATTGCTGTGATGTTAAAAACCATCAGAAAGTCTTGTGCAAACACTAACATCATTGCGATAGAGACGTTTGCACTGGCAAGCTAGGAAAGCGTAAACACAAAACAAGTTTGCCCCATGTGAAATAACTCCCAGAAAGACCCCCAGTTTTTTTTTTTTTTCCGTTGGCCTGAATCTGTTCAGAGTGTATAATCCGAGACGGCGAAGGGGAGGAAGGTGCTTGAATGTCAGAGGGTGAAAGTGTCGGCTTTCAAAACAAGCTGACATTTCACTCGAGTCCCAACGCTCTATATAGAGACTCGAGTCTAGAGTACCTTAAGATGCCTTGAATCTATCACACAAGTAGAAGTGGTCTGTAGAGTAACCAAAAATGAAACCAAACATCCTCAGTTATAGCTTCACCTGTTTTAATGTGGTCACAATGCAAAATTGTAGCCAAGGTGACATATGTGGTAACCACACTCCGCCTGCCTTCTCTCATATGCCTGCTGGGTAATCTGGCTCATGAGACTAGAAAGCAAAGCGCCCAGGACATGAACAGCCGTTTCATTTGTGCTGTCATGGATGCGCGTCAGCTGATTACGGCATGAAATATCAATGTTCTGTTTCTAGATCAGTTTAAAGAGCTTCTGTTCTTCAGTAGTGTCGGTTGTAAACAGGGTTGTTATGAAAAGTGGGTGTTTTCTAGCATGCCTTCGATCGTAATGAGAGATTTTCGCTGACAGCGTGTGGCCTGGCTTCGTCAGATCCAAAGATCTCCCAGCATGTCACGGGGACATAAATGTCTGTTATTACCGTCTCTAAACGCCAGCGCTGTAACTCAAACCCTTTGGGATGCGAAATGTTCTCAGCCAAGCTGCTATTTACAGACTTGTTTTCACGTCATGTGCTTGTTTGTGATCCGTGCAAGCTGCCTCTCTTCTGTCAAGTGGAAAGTGAAACATCTGTCGTGGGGAACCCAAATCTCTCTGCTTACCTGGCCCCAAGTCAGCTAATGCTTCTCCATAGTGACCCGATGCAAAATCAGTACAATAATCCTGGGGTCTGATATATACATATGCGTAGAATCCTTCCTAAAGGTGAACGTACACCAGAATTTATTTAATGTTTAGGTTAAATATGTTTACTCAGGGTTTCCCAGTAATGGATTGCAGCTGGTAGGTGATGTTTAAAACATATGCTGGCGGTTCACTCCGCTGTGGCGACCCCTGATGAATAAAAGGACTAAGCCGAAGGAAAATGAATGAATGTTTACTTGGGGCAGCTCAGTGGTTAGCACTGTCGACTCACAGCAAGAAAGTCACTGGTTCGAGTCCCGGCTTTGTCAGTTGGCATTTCTGTGGAGTTTGCATGTTCTCCCTATGTCCGTGTGGGTTTTCAAAGGCATGCCCTATAAGTGAATTGGATGAACTAAAATTGGCCGTAGTGTATGAGTGTGTGTGTGAATGCGAGTGTGTATGGGTGTTTCCCAGTAATGGGTTACGGCTGGAAAGGCATCCATTGAGGTAAACATGTGCCGGAATAGTTAGCAGTTCGTTCCACTGTGGATAAAAAAGCGGCTTGTATATGCCTCATCTTCACATCCCAATGTTGACAGGTGTGCTCAATAGACCAATAATTAAGTTCGGCAACGTTTGACGTCACTTTATTTTAAGTGAATAAGAAACGTTAATGCTGACGATAGTGAAAGTTAAAGGAGCCGACGGTAATGCAGGTTAAACATTCATTCAATTTCCTTCGGCTTAGTCTCTGATTTATCAAAAGTCACCACAGCGGAATGAACCACCAACTATTCTAGCATATGTTTTACGCAGTTAATGCCCTTCCAGCCGCATTCCAGTACTGGGAAACACCCATACACACTCTCATTTACACACACACATGCACTACGGTTAATTTAGCTTCTTCTATTCGCCTATAGCGCATGTCTTTGAACAAACCGGAGCATCCGGAGGAAACCCACACAAACACAACATGCAAACTCCCACACAAAAATGCCAACTGACCTAGCCGAAAGTCAAACCAGCGACCTTCTTGCTGTGAGGCGACATTGTTAACTACTACGCCACCGTGCCGCTTAAGTGGAAAAAAAAAAAAAAAAAAAAAAAAAAGAGCTGAAAATCTGATATGTGGCATTATATGCAAATTACATACACGACATACAAGTTCATGTTTGGATTTCACATGGATAAAAGGTATGTCACATGCAAGATGTTTGTCAAAATATTTCACAGATTTTTCAATTATGGGATTTACAAATATGTACATGGGTAATTTTTCAACTACGGGCACTTTTATGTCCTTTGATCAAATATCCAAAAATACACATAATTTGTTAAAATTCCTCTTTTTTTGTCAAACTAACAATAAAACCTACTTTTAAAAAAATTACTAGCTTTTTATTATATATTTTTCTTATTATTCATCCTCCTTTTAGGTGTCAAAATCACTGTTTTAGCAATGTTAAGTTTTAAACTTAAATAATAAAAATAATAAATAATTAAATAATAAAAGTAACATTTTTAACTATTATTTATCTGGTATCTGTTACTGTACCTTAATGAAGCACTGGTGGAATATTTTAGATATTTAATAGGTATTGATGTGAGGCTATTATCAATATTATTTTTTAGACAAATATAGCTGTCGCACAGTATCAGTGTCATTTCCACCATAACACTGTAATGTCGCTTCAAAAAGTTTGTGTGAAAGATTATTTTAGGTGGTTTCTATAAAATTGAATAGTGTCATCTGAAAACATGTTCAAGATGGAGGGAATTTACATTTTCATCAACAACACTTGAAGAAAAATCAAGTTAAATATTGCTTGATAAGGAAATACATTTATTTTACGTCATTTCCAAACAGGTTGTACCTTCAAAAACCAAACAAAATGAGGGTAAATGAGAGTGTTTTGTATACATGAAAGGCTAGTATCAATTCAAAGCTAATCGGTGAAGCTATCTTTCATTTTTTTCACAATAAACTGTTGAAATGTCATTTCCACCACTGAATTTCCATCACCACACACATTTAAAAAAATATGTAAAAAGTTCTCCTCACTCATTAAAAGTGTATCCGTAATGTATGAGTTCATGCTCTATTTAATATACAAATCCAGTTTATTTTCTAAGTAGCTCTTAATCAAATTAATATTACATTTTAGAGTGTGACGGGTGTACAATTCAGCACACAACTCATGTATTTCATTGACACATGTATAATTTTATATATATATATATATATATATATATATATATATATATATATATATATATATATATATATATATATATATATATATATATATATATATTTATATATATATTTATTTATTTATATTATATATGTGTGTGTGTATATATATATATATGTATGTGTATATATTTATTTACTTATTTATTTATTTATATATATATATATATATATATATATATATATATATATATTGTGGAAAGTTTGGTTAAACTGGATACAAAAATGGTCTTAGACAATTTTTGACTGCCATCATTTATTTCATTTTAAAATAAGCTGTATATTGAGATGTGGTGGATTTGACATTTGTTCAGTTCACCATGGAAAAAAAATTTCTCTTCTCGTCTAAGTTTGTCCTCTTAAAACTAGACAAATTGTTTAATCTATTGAGGCATTGTAGGTTCATTTTACGTAAAGTTTTTTTTACTCAACCTCACAAGTCTAAAAGTGCCCGTAGTTGAAGAATGGCGCACGTATATATTGAAATATATTAGCTGTACATGTTTCATATTTGGCCGAATATCAGATTTCCACATGGGGAGCAAAAAAAATCCTTATGAAAAAAAACCACACGAGCATCACATGTTAAAATATCTTGAGAAACACGCATGAGATGTGTGATTTTGGAATATTTTCATGTTGAAAATCATAATAAACCACATTTCATGCATTTCCATGTGTGTTCCACAAGTGATTTTAACATGTGACACTCGCATTTTTTGCAGTGATAATGCATAAAACTAAAAACAGAGCCTCTAAAAGTGGCAACATTTCAGCAGACTGTTTTTCTGCTGCTGGCAGGATGGATATCTATAATCAGCTGGCATCCCCAGTCCTGTGCCAAGCTGCATCATGCATTTGACTCATGATGCCGAGAGAGAAGATCGCTTTTGGAAACACACAGCAGTTTTTGTTAAAGCACTCGAGGAATGTTGCGTTAATCTCTCACAGTGGTATGAGATGTTTGCTTTGTCTCTGTCTTGCAGTTGTGCTGTGCTGGGCTCGAGGCAGCGGGCTCCAGGGCCTCTGTGGTGCTCCTGATGCCCCTCTCCCACTAACGAAGATCCCGGGTGGGCGAGGGACGGGCAGGGATCTCCCTCACAGTGTACTGCACAAGGTAAAAAACACACATTTATTCATTACATAAAGTCTTTAGATCGTTGGAATGAAACATTTTAGCCCTTGAAGTACACATGAACCTGAAGCTGCAGCAGTTGTGACAGTTTCTAGAGAAACGCAATATTAAATGAGTAAACGGTGAGCGTGGCTTGTTTCTCTAATGCGAGCTGATTAGATGTGGTCAAGAAGGCATTTCATTCAGAAAGATCTGGAAATCGGGTTTGTAAGAGTTATTACAGACAGGCCCAATACCTCAGACAGACATAATCTGACAGTGGGGTATATGCCGAAGCATGCTAATAGGACTTTTAATTTGCCAGTAACCTGGGTTAAGCTCTTCCGGCGAATTGAATGCCAATGCAAAATCCGGTGCGTTTAAGGTCTGTTTTTTAAAAAAAATCAGCGATCTCCACTAGCTGAGTGATATCCGAAATAAAGTGGGTCTCAGATTGTACAAGAAGCACTGCATTAAATTACATTTCCCCCGCCATGTCTTTATAATATGAGCATTTATTTTACCCCAGTATATTCAATGGAGCTTCTGCACTAGCCTGCTGATTCTGACGGGCGCGTGCGAGTAAACCGCTTTTTGTCTCGTTTTACGCTTAAGCAACTAAATAAATGCTAAAGTTTATTTAACTGAATGTATTTTAATGACATTACAACATCGATGCTGTTTAAGGAACCGTATAAAATGGGAAAAAGTTCTCAATAACAGGTCACCGGAAGTTTATCAAAATGGCAAGTTCTGGTTGTATTTGTACTTTAAACAAGCAAGAGTGAAGAACGCCAAGCAACAAATCATTTAAGGTCATTTTTTTTATATCAATTCCCTTCAAAAAACATATCCAAATAAGATTTTTTTACATAGTTTGGTTTATTTAGGGTTAAATTTTATCATTAGGGTAAAAACTCATTATTATTTTTTTATATAATTTGCAGCTGAAAATCTACTTTTTAAGCTCGCCAAATATATTTAATTACTAATTTTAAACTGTAAACAACAGATTTCATCTAAACACGTGTATATATTTATATAGTTATATAGAAGCATCACAGTGGCGTAGGGGGTAGCACAATCGTCTCACAGCAAGAAGGTCGCTGGTTGGAGCCTCAGCTGGGCCAGTTGGCATTTCTGTGTGGATTTTGTGTGGGTTTCCTCCGGGTGCTCCGGTTTCCCCCATAAGTCCAAAGACATGCAGTACAGGTGAATTGGGTAGGCTAAATTGTTTGTAGTGTATTGTATGAGTGTCTATGGGTGTTTCCCAGTACTGGGTTGCAGCTGAAAGGGCATGTGCTGGCATCCTTAAAACATGTGCTGGATAAGTTGGCGGCTCATTCCACTGTGGCAACCCCAGATTAATAAAGGTACTAAGGCGAAAATAAATAAATAAATGAATATTGTTATATATATATACACTTGTGTGTGTGTGAATAATATATATAGTATATATTAGCTCCCCTGAATTATTAGCCCTCCTGTTTTAGTTTTTCTTAACTAGGTTTTTTAGGGTAACTAGGCAGGTTAGGGTAATTAGACAAGTTATTGTATAACGATGGTTTGTTCTGTAGACTATTGAAAAAAATATAGCTTAAAGGGGCAAATAATTTTGTCCCTAAATGTTTTTTTTTATTGTAAACTGCTTTTATTCTTGCTGAAATAAAACAAACTTTCTCCAGAAGAAAAAAACATTATCAGACATACTGTGAAAAATGCCTTGCTCCGTTTAATATCATTTAGGAAATATTAAAAAAAAGAAATAAAAAATCAAAGGGGGACTAATAATTCTGACTTCACCTGTGTATATATATATATATATATATATATATATATATATATATATATATATATATATATATATATATAAATGTATATCGTGTGTGTGTGTGTGTGTGTGTGTGTGTGTGTGTGTGTGTGTGTGTGTGTGTGCGTGTGTGTGTGTGTGTGTGTGTGTGTGTGTGTGTGTGTGTGTGTGTGTGTGTGTGTGTGTGTGTGTGTGTGTGTGTGTGTGTGTGTGTGTGTATATATGTATATATATATATATAGTTTTCCAGGTAGCAATAAATGTCCATTTTTTAAAAGATTTAAAGTTACCATAAAATTGCTGGGTTTATTTATAGACAGTTAGTGTTCGTTATAAATGATTAATCTGCACACACAATAATTGTTTTAAATGTGTCGTCACAATCTTTATTTACATATGTAATGTATGACCAATTAAATCAATTTATATTTCAAAGAGAGGGAGATTTATATTTCATCATTTATATGTCAAAAAGACTATTTACTTGACATAAACGTCACAGCAGAGAGGAAATGCAGATATAATCTCTTATGCTTACATTTAAAATCTATTTACTTTTCAAACCAAAAAGCGCCTCACAGATTATGTCCATATATTTGCTACAAGGCTTATGAAATTATGATGTCCTATAATTTGGGCGTAAACTATACCTTTATTAACTCGACATAAACCATCTGTCATGACTAAATTTTTGCCCCTTATGCAGATTTCGCCCTGTATATAAACACATGAACTGCTTTCTGTTGGTTTATTAAAGTATACATGTTTTGAACACCTAAATCTGGATATATTAATATTTTATGCTATATACTATATATATTAATGTTGTGTGCTTTGACTATGACAAGATTCAATATTTTGCTAAATATCAGCAAAATGCATGCAAATTGGGATGTAGTAGCCCATCTCAGTTTATTTTTTCACAGTCACAGGATGACATTTAGGGTAAAAACCCAGAATAGTTAATTAATCCTTAAATCGGTGAGCAGTTAGCAAATCTGTTAGTTAAGCAACAGGATAAAACCAAACTTGATTAGTATTTTGGCAGCACGGTGGCTCAGTGGTTAGCTTTGTTGCCTCACAGCAAGAAGGTAGCTGGATCCGAGTCCAGTTGGCATTTGTGTGTGGAATTTGCATGTTCTCCCCGTGTTTGTGTGGGTTTCCCCCACCATCCAAACACATGGTATTAGTGAATTGGATAAACAAAATTGTCCATAGTGTGTAAATGTGTTTCCCAGTACTGGGTTGCAGCTGAGAGGACATCTGCTACATAAAACATATGCTGGAAAAGTTGGCGATTCATTCCACTGTGGCAACCCCTGATGTATAAGGCACTGAGCCGAATTAGTATATCAAAATAGTATCAATAATCTAGTGTAGATAGATTGCAAAATGAGACAGGCCATCTCAGTGTACTATTTTACTATCCCAGCATGATCCTGAAAACCTTGACCAGTAAATGAAGAGTTCAATCGATAAAACGCTGGAGCAGTCCAAAATAAACCATACACACAAACAGCCCGAGGGAGGGAGACTGCTGGGATCTCTAGGGCTTGTTTTTTTTGTCATGTAGCTCCGTGCCATATTTACTGCTGAAGTTTCCATCTGCCCTACATATGCGTGGTGTTGGCACTTGAACTCGGCATACACCTGATCATCTGTGCGCGAGACTATAGATGTCAGCGCTGTCTGTGCACAGACATGTGACTGTCTCAAAAGGTTAAGAGGTTTTGGATCGCTTACACCTGTTGTGCAAGCTACTGGGCTCATTTATAGTGATTGATTTGTCTACAAAGACACTCTGGGTAATATTTAGACGAAAATCGATTGAAAATCTGCCGTGGGTTCAATAGAGCAATCGCTCTGAGGGAATTTCCATTTACATAACAATGCCCCAAATACAGATGTCGCAATTCAGTGCATCACATTTGGATTGGTTTGCAATTAAGAGGAAATATTGCATAGTTTCAGCAAGGATCTCTTACAAACAGTATTGGATTTCAACAGTGGTCTCATTTGGATTGATAGAAGGAACATCTACATAGTTGATCTTTTGCCAAAGTAAATGAGCATGTTTACATACTCAGCAATACATTGTAAATTCAATTTTAATCAAACACCAAACAATCTTTTTGTGTATGCTATCCAAATGTTGATTCCATCAAACCTCCTCCCTATTTTACCTCGGTAGACAGAATTACCGTGCATAATAAAAGAAAATATGATGTAAGGCTCAGACAGTGTCACCAAACTGTTGGCTTGTGCCTGAACTATTCAGAAACTGAATACCGTGTATGCGACCTTAGGTTCGTGGTCACCTGTTTGTTGCACAATTTGCAAATTGCCTTGTTTGTATTAGAGATCTGCGCGCTGTCGGTATGAACACACACACACATAGGCACACAGCAGAAGCTGTCTCTCATTCACACACACACACAAACACACACACACATAGTTAGACAGCACCAAGCCAGCAACGCACAGCATCACGCTCTCTCTCATAAACACACAAACACACACATAAACAGCATCCACACGAATGTTTGCGTGCTCACTCGCTTGGGAGCGATATTGTTAGACCGCCCTCTCCCATTCAGATTACACCAGTTACCGACTCCTCCCGCGCTTTATTCTTTATTCCCGCACCGCAAGAAATCTGGTTGGGTCCAGCAGGAATGCAGACCTCTAGTTTGTATTTACATGTGAAGTCAATGCAAAGATTAGACATCCTGTGGTGCAAATCGAGTAAATAACACGACGCGAATTGGCCGTTCTGAGCGTTGGTTGTGCTTCAGACTGTAAAAGAAAGTGTGAGCAAACATCTAACAAACGGAGCAATGGAACAGGCAGAAAAGCAAGCAGCTTGCAACGATGGACATTGGTTCAAGAATTATGGCCGCTGGATGTGACCAAATTGAAGGACATTATTTGTGCTTTACATGTATAGCTGATATTATGATCTGCGTCAAATCTATAAAACTTTTCCTGTCGTTGATAAGAGAAAACGATTCTGTCATTGACTAGTTTTACAACAATCCGTGTTTTAGGTGTATTAACGTAGCGGAAGCCCTAACGCATGTCCTGAGTGAGGTACATGATCTCAGATGCTCCGTTGAGTGAAATCTGAGAGAAAGTAAGATCGTGGACAAAAATAAGAGTTATATAACCTTCCTATGGCTTAATCTCTATCGTTTTAGATCTTGTCGAGACCAAAATGAAGCTTTATTTTTATGATTTGTGTTATTGTGTCAGATTGCACACCTAACAGTAAGCTAACTAACAAGATATCATATATATATATATATATATATATATATATATATATATATATATATATATATATATATATATATATACGTATACACACATGCATTGTTGATCGCAAAATTTTTGCAAATTTCTAGGAATTACTACCTTAAAATAATTTTTAAATCGCAAAAAAAAATTGTGAAAAACTAGGGGGTCTGATTAATTCTCTAAGATTAAAAAATGAGCAACTGTTAGACTATAACATTTTGTTTTGGTTTGCTATGAATGGCGTTCAGATGTGTCTAACATTATTTGTCTGTTTACCCCAGGACGAAAAGTTGACGGTGACCGAGGCAGGGTCGGTAAGTGGAGCGCCCCCTGTCCTGCACTTCCAGTACCAGCTGAGCGAGCGACGGATCTCCTCTTGGGACACGGTTCTGTCAGACGACGCTCTCTATCTGGAAATCCCTGCTGGTGCTCTTCACAATGGCAGCAGAGAAGGGTAAATTGGGTTTATAATCTGCCATAGTGTGGCTAAAAAGTGTCAAGTTGAAAGCAGGATATCAGTCTCTGACTTTAACAGACAGTTTTAGGCCACAGCCGAACAAACAGCCGGTTTAATTTTAGCCCAAAGCAGCTCGAGTTGGTTTTTCAGTGTGATGTTTCAACAGTGGTATGAGGCTGTGAAAGAAGCATGATAGTCGTTTCTCATTTGGATCAGTGACGTGCTGTCAATTAGATCCCTGCACGCATTAGTACAGAGTGTTTTACCTTCAGCGAGCAGGTGCTGGACTGTCAGAAAGCATTAAGTGTGTGTGTGTGTGTGTGTGACCTGAAGTTGTTTTGTGGCTAGTACATCTGCATTATTACATAAGATGGACATTATGTAAAAGCAGCAGTGCGTCACCACCTCTGTCTCTCTCTCTCTCTTGTTACGCTGCAGTTTTACCCGGCTGCTGGAGTTTGCAGAGGAGCAGTTGAAAGTCAGCTATGTGTTCCTGTGGCTTCACAAAAACAGAGACGATCGACGTAAGATACATTTACACACACTTTAGTTTAAATACCAATTCTCAATATTAACTAGTGTTTTTTTTACCGGTCTATTATTCAGACATTGGTTGTTTGTTAGTAACCTGATGCCTCAGAGAGTTTAAAGCATTCAGGCACAAGACATTGTACCGTTTGTAACTTTAATAAAGAATAATTTTATTGAATTATTTATAGCAGTAAAGACTTTTTCAATGTTATTTTACATTTGATTATTCAAATTATTTAACTGAATACAATTCGACTGCCCCAAAAACCATGACACAGTTTATTTCACTTATCTTTGCTTTTTTTGTATTTGCTTGTAATTTATTTTGTTTTATGCATGATTCACTTCCTCACAGAATCATGCCAATCATTCTAAATTAATACGTTCTTTGCAAATAGCAGTCATCTATAGAGCCAGATTAGTAGCAAAAATAATACATTTACAAAATATAGTGTTTACCGCCACAACACGATTCACGTTACCAAAATCTAATTTGTAAATTGAAAACGCAATTCGTTAATACAGAAATCTAATTTGAAAATTCACAACATGATTCGTAAATACACAAATCTAATTCAGAAATTGAAAACACAATTTAAAAAAGTGCACAAATCCAATTCGCAGATTTAAAACATGATTCGTAAATACACAAATCCAATTTGTAAATTCAAAACATGATTCGCAAATATACACAAATACAATTCGTAAATTCAAAACATGACTCGTAAATATACACAAATTCAATTCGTAAATTCAAAACATGACTCGTAAATATACACAAATTCAATTCGTAAATTCAAAACATGACTCGTAAATATACACAAATCCAATTCGTAACTTTTAACACAATTCGTAAATAAACAAATCCAATTTGAAAATTTAAGACACGATTCGCAGAAATACACAAATCCAATTCATAAACTTATTACACAATTCATAAATAAACAAATCCAATTCGTAAACTCTAAACACGATTCGTAAATAAACACAAATTCAATTCACTTGGTGAAAATATTTATGATTTTTTACTTGTGAACTCACAAATTGTGTGCTGTATTTATGAATTGTGTTTTGAATTTAAAAATTGGATTTTGTAAATGTGAATTGTGCTGTGCATGTATGAATTTTATTTCATAAATGTATTATTTTTTAATCTGATCTGGCTCCATAGTCATCCAGTGAAATTATATATATATATTGCAATATTTTATCACAGAAACGATGTCAGATTTTACCAACATCGTGCAGCCCTAGAACACAATTTTATATGATAACATAACTTTAACTTTGGGGTTTTAAAACCGTATAATCAGTCTAATAATAACCATAAATAATTAACAAATTTTTCCCTCCACTTTTACAGTGTCAATCATGAAGACCTTCCACTACATGGGTTTTGAAGTGGTGAAACCGGGTCACCCGCTGGTGCCGGCTCGGCCCGATCTCCTCTTTATGGTCTATTCTATGGACAGCAGCAGTTCAGATGAAGAGTGACCATCACACTCTCGGTCAATCTTAAGATGCCCCCCCACCCCTCTTCCTCCCCCTCTCTAATCTTCTGCATCAAAGTGACTTTAAAGACAGGGGGAGGGACGTAGCTGCTCCGATTTACACTCTGATTGGTTCAGCTTCGGGTTTATATCTCACCGATCCGTTCTGATTGGTCGCTCCATCAGCAGGAGGTGGGTTGGTGCTAAACCAGAATCCAGCATATCCTTTCTGTTAATTCACACCATATATCAAAACAGTCATGTATAGAACAGCAGATTTAGACAGCAGAGATGGTAGTGATACGTTTTACAGAAGGGCCTTTGTAATCGACTGTAAACTGCTTTTTGTTGGCGATTTATGTGTTTCAGTTCGTCAGACTTCTGGTTTTACTCTTCTCTAGGAGTTTCAGCTAGTTAATCATTCAACAAGCTGAAAAGCGCTCCGCTCTTAGCAACTAAGACTCGACTCTCTTTAGCAGCACAATTAGTCCTTCAGATGCTCATTAGGATTTATGCTACGTTCCATTCAGCTCTTTGAACGTCCAACTTTCCACAGTTTGAGTGCACTTAAAGTTGGATGTCCAACTTGGAAAGGTCTACGGAAATTGATTTCAGACTTGAACGCCACAGGAACAAGTCCAAAGGAAGTGCTAAAAATTAGCTAAAGGCAAAATGATTAGCCCTCCTGTGAAATTTAAATATTTCTCAAGTAATGTTAAAAGGGCCAAGGGGATTTTCACAGTATTTCCTATACATTTCTTCTGTAGAAAGTCTTATTTTTTGTTTGCCTGAAATATAAGTAGTTTTTAATTAAGGCTGGGCCGATAAACGATATTATATTAAATCGAGATAACATTTATCTCAATAACAATGATAAGCTCTGGACCTTTTTACTCTATATTGATCTCGGAGCCAATCACACAGCAGTAATGTGCAACAATGAAAATCTAAAAGTGTGTTGATATTAGAGATGCACCGAATTTTCGGCCACCGACAATTTATTGGCCGAAAATGTTTTATTTAATATCTATTTTTTTTGTGGCTTCAGTCATTGTTGGGGTACTCTTTTAAATCTGGACTAACAATTTATATATTGAAATATATAGCGTTATCGTTCTATATGGAAAATAATTATCGATATGACATTTTTGCCGTATCGCCCAGCCCTATTTTTAATTTTTATAGGTTTTTTTTGTTTAAGATCAATATTATTAGCCCCCTTAAGAAGATATGAATTGGCTACAGAACAAACCACTGTTGTCCAGTGACTTGCCCAATTAATCTAAGGGTGCTTTTACATCTGTAGTTCGCTTCATTTGGTCTGGACCAAGGGCAATAAATGACACATTGTTGCATTTTTTTTTTTGCCGTCTATGGCTTGTTTTCACACCACACTGCTGGCTTTGGTCTGAACCAGTTGAAAAGAACCAAAATCCGCTCATCTGACAAAATCCTCATCACTCATTGGCCAAATGTTGTTAAACATAGTTCCTAAACTGCTTATCGATTGGTCAGAATTCACGTGCGGGAAAATGCCAATGAACTCCCGCAAGTAAACTCTCTAAAAGAATTAAACCTTCACAGGAGGGCTAATAATTTTGTCTTTAACTGTACGTGAAAGTTCCCACTTTAAATAATTAAAATGATAATAAAAGTGTGTTTATATCCACCCATCATCATCATCATGCAACCAATGGCTTTATTCTAAGAAGTCGAAAATACTGGACGTTTCGCAGCATTCTAGTTTGAGTTTAATAAAAACACCATCGCATCATTCCAGACCCCAACAATGCACTTATGTTTAAATTTAGTTGACGTTTATCTTAGTCTGGTTGTGAGGTTTGCTTTTCACAAATCCTTTGAATTGAAGTCGATCGGCCAGGTCTGTTTATTCTTTAAAAAAAACAGACTTGAACGCTTCTAGATGCATGAGCATGTTAGTGATGAACCATTCTATTTAAAAAAAAAAAAAAACTATTGACCTTATTGTGTGGTGCGGAAGTGCGCTTGTTTTTTTGCGATTGTTTTATAACTTTTAATTGAGTTTCCTATGGGAGGAATAATAAACGGCAGAAACAGTCTTGTCGTGGATCCCAGTTGTAAGAGCAACAAATAATGTCTTGACTTCTAGTTGATCATTTCTAAAAGTGCCAGAAGGTAGATTTTCCAGATTTATCATCTGTTGAGCTGCATCCCAATTATCCCAAAATAGAAGACCTATTGGAAACCGAATGAACCCAAGATTCTCACATAAATCAGTCAAGTTTGGTGAAGGGAAAAATCATGGTTTGGGGTTACATTCAGTATGGGGGCATGGAAGAGATCTGCAGAGTGGACGGCAATATCAACAGCCTGAGGTATCAAGACATTTGTGTGACCTAAACCACAGGAGAGGGCTGATTCTTCAGCAGGATATTGTTCCTTATCATATTTCAGCCTGCACATCAAAGTTCCTGAAAGCAAAGAAGGTCAAGGTGTTCCAGGATTGGCCAGCCGAGTCACCAGACATTAACCTTATTGAGCACGTCTGGGGTAAGATGAAGGAGGAGGCATTGAAGATGAATCCAAAGAATCTTGATGAACTCTGGGAGTCCTGCAAGGACGCTTTCTTTGCCATTCCAGATGACTTTAATAAGTCTAAGCAAAGTCAGACCTTATTGTCCTAATTAAATAATTAAAAATCAGGAAATGATCATATTTTATTGTGGTAAATAAGCGTAATCTAGAGGCCTTTGCCTTTCATATAAGCCACTTCTGATACCAAACGATCAACTAGAAGTCAAATTATTATTTGCTGTTCCTAAAACCTGGATAGGGGACAAGACTTCAGTCAGGTAGTGAACTCACTCTACAATCAAGAGTGTTCATGACTATATGTAAAAAGTTGAATAATATAATTAAGCAGCTGTTTTTAATGGCTTAAAATAAATTATGAATGAGATCGGAAAATCAAAAGTGAAAAATCCAAGCCAAAAAGATTCATGTGGCGGTGCACGCTTGTACGTGAAGAATGACGTCAATTAGGTCCTCATTTTTATTTAGCAGATGCTCTGAGTCTTACCATAGTCCATAACACCGTTTGTCTTCACAATTCATGAGAGTAAACCAACCCCACCCTCTGGCCCTCAGGGGTTTAACACAAGCACTTTAGGAAAACACAAGCAATTCAGTCCACGGCGCATTGCGGAGATGTAATTTGAGTCGTTAAGATGTCTTGCAGTGTTTAGTGAACTTGACATATACTTGCCAAAGAAAATGGGCTCCATTCAGAGTGAACGCCGCCTCAAGTTTCATTCAGATAAGACAGGTAGCAGCACCTTCAGATTAGCAGGTAAACCCCGGCGCAGTCAGGTAAAACATGCAAAAACATTCCCTGGAGCAGAAGCCTCTGTTTCCTCCATTCTGGGTCATCTCTGTGGAAATGATAGGTGTTCAGTGAATTCAGACTTCTCGGCAGGGTGGCCTTTAGGTTTTGCATGTGTAAATAGATCTTACCTTTCCTCATGGGCTGTGACAATAAGCTTTTAGAGAATGTTTGTTTGTTTTTGTTGTTTATTCACTTAAATTTTATTTTTATCTACAATATTATTTTGTCTATATTGATTGATGGATTGATTTTTGTAGTGTATAGGGTTTAGAGTGAAATCATTTAATGACAATCTACACTTGTATACCTTGAACTTTTTTTCCTTATGTCCAAATAAAACACACAAGAAAAAATAAACATCAGGACTTGCCTTCTTTTTTGGTTCACCAATAAAACAGTTTCCATAAACAAGCTGAAAGACAAAAATGTTTGATAATGTAGATAAAAAAAAAAAAAAACATCTTTCAGTAGTCCAAAGCTGATATTACACTACTAAAACTACAGTAAGTGTGGTAAATATACTCACCCTCTTTATGGTCTTTGTTATACCACCTTCTTGGCTGTAGCACTCAAATGCCATGTAAAAAAAAGCATATATATATATGTGTGTGTGTGTGTGTGTGTGTGTGTGTGTGTGTGTGTGTGTGTGTGTGTGTGTGTGTGTGTGTATATATATATGTATATATATATATATATATATATATATATATATATATATGTATATGTGTGTGTGTGTGGATTGTTTAAAGCCAGAAATCATTGAATGTTTTACAAATATGAGCATGATAAAAGAAGACAGTATGTTTCGTTTTAGACTAGAAACAATGATCATTTAGCTTGTTCATAATAGGAGTCTTATACAAAACAAAAAACAAAGTAAACTGGACTGTGTCGATTCAAGTATAACGGCTGCGCTTCACTTTTACAAGAAAAATAAGGAGGTTACCTTTAACTTTTTTTTCCTATTGTCCAAAAAAAACACACACAAACATATAAACATCATGACCTGCCTTTATTTTGCCTTCCAACAGTAAACCAGTTTTCCATAAACAAGCTGAAAGACAAAAATAAAATGTCTGATAATGTTGATAAACCAAAAAAAAAAACTTCAGTAGCCCAAAGCTGATATTACACTACTAAAACTACAGTAAGTAATACATTTGTAATACATTCTTCTTGGTTGTAGCTCTCAAATGCCACTTATGTTTAAATATATATATTTTTTTTTTCATTGTTTAAAACTTGATAATAATTAATGAAGGTTTTAAAAAATATGAGCATGATTAAAACAAAATCGCTAATAAAATACAGTATTTTAGACAGTTTGTGTTTTATTTAGCTTGTTTATAACAGTCTCATGCAAAATAAAAACAGTACACTATTGAAGACATTAATGGTTAAATAAGTCATATACTTAAGCAAATGTTTCATGCACTACCATCTTAATATTACAAAAACAGTTATTTAAATTTATATATGAAGTATTATACTAAAGTGTTGTTTTTTTGGTCAGTTGACCATCATTTATCCACCTTATTTGACTGTGGAAATTGCTCTTTTCTGTGATTGTGACTTACGGTGAGGGTAAATGAGCACTTGTGCTACAAACCATGTTTATGGCAATAAATGAAGTAAATTAATAAAAGAAAATACTAACATCAAGCAACATGACGAGCTGTTTGATAGGGCTAAACTTTAATGCAAGTAAACGGGACTGTGTCTTAGCTATAACGGCTGCCCTTCACTTTTACAAGAAAAATAAGGAGGTTACCTTTTTTTTTTTGCTTATGTCCAAATAAAACACAAAATATAGACATCATGACTTGCCTTTATTTTGGCGTCCACCAGTAAGCCAGTTTTCCATAAACAAGCTGAAAGACAAAATAAAATGTCTGATAATGCTGATAAAACAAACAAAACTTCAATAGTCCAAAGCTGATATTATTACACTACTAAAACTACAGTAAGTGTGGTAAATACTCACCCTCTTTGGGGTCTTTGTTATACATTCTTCTTGGTTGTAACTCTCAAATGCCACTTAAGTTAAAATATATATTTTTGTCATTGTTTAAAACTTGCAAATAATTAATGAAGGTTTTAAAAATATGAGCATGATTAAAATGAAATCGCTAATAAAGACAGTATTTTAGACAGAGTTTGTGTATTATTTAGCTTGTTCATAGTCTTATACGAAAATAAAACAGTACATTATTAACGACATTAATTGTAAAATAAGTCATATACTTAAGCAAAATTTTCACGCACTCCCATCTTAATATTAAAAAGATTACAAAAACAATTATTTAAAAAAATAAACTATTTTACTAAAAGTGTGGTAACATTCTTCTTGGCTGTAGCTCTCAAATGCCACTTAAGTTAAAATTTATATATTTTGAATTGTTTAAAGCCAGAAATCATTGTATGTTTTAAAAGTAGGAGCATGATTAAAATGAAACTGCTAAAAA